CTTAGTGAGTTTTTTTCATAAATAAGTAAAATAGATTTTTTTTTTTGGATTTTTTCGATTTATTATCGTAGGATGGACAAAGACAAATCCAATAAAGCAAAAATCATAAAAATCAATCCAGCCGTTCTCGAGTTATAAGTGCTCAACACCAACACAACTGTGTTTTATATATATAGATAATGAGTTAATGTCTGTCCTAAATCTTGAAAATCTGAACCAGAGGCGACAGTTTTTTGATATGTGTACTTTGTTTAGGATTGTTAATAATTCTATTGATTCTCCAGACTTACTTGCTAGAGTTGGCTTACATGTACCATCTAGCAATTTAAGAGGAAACACATTGTTTAACCTTGATTTTCGTAGAACCAATTATGGTTACCATTCACCTTTACTTAGAAGCTGTCGTTCTCTGAATGATATTATTTTGAAGACTGATTTGGATGTTTTTAACATGGATAGATTCAAAAGAATTTTAAAGTCGATCCTTAAATGATCGTTTTTTGTATTTGTTTTCAATTTTAAGCGTATTATGTTGTTGTTTGTGTTTTGATACCTACTACAAAATATTTGTTTAGGCTTATGTAATGTTTTTTTTTATACTAATTTGTCTGTTGCCTACTTGTTATTCCAAATATTTATTATTGCGTGTGCCTACACTTTAAGTCTACCTTTGTAAAAATGGCATGTCCGTAAATAAAGAATTTAATTTAATTTAATTTAATTTAATTTAATTTAATTTAATGTCATAATTGACGTGTCTCGTAATACCTGGTGTGCGCGCGCAACTCGTGGGTTGCCGGGGAGCGTCCAATGAAAATCGAGTTTGTTACGGGCTTGCGTCATATTCGTATTCAGGGACGAGTTCAGAATTAATCGTTTCTTCTTTCTTTGTAACGTGTAATTCGACAAAGAGCAAACTAATACTTTACGTATTACTTGAACTTATCCCAGCGTCGTTTAAGGTTATGTTAAATTATACTTGACATATTTTCATTGTGCGATATTGCCGGATGAAACATTTATCAAAATAAAAGTGCCATCGATGTTAACATAGACTTTAAAGCTCTTCGTTTGTCTGATTTAAGGCGTTGTAGAACACTTGACAATATATCACTTCTTTAATGTTATAATGTTCGATTTGTATTGTCTACATTTGTTCTGAAACAATACACTCTGGCTACACTGCAGCCACGAGTTGCGCACGCATGTCATTTTTTATTACTTTCTAACTTGAATTTATTACAATTAAGCTCTCTTTTTCTATTTCTGCGAGACACGTCAATTATACTGAAAACAGCCCATGGGTTGTTTTCACTCTATGACATTGTTTCGGACATTGTTGTCAAAAAAATTTCTATCCTACTAAAGCCTAGTACTCATAACTGCGAAATTCGCATTTTTTTGACATTGCGTTGATAATTTGACGTTTTATGCGTGTATCAAACGTCAATTTGTCGAAGAAATGTCAAAAAAATGCGAATTTCGCAGTTATGAGTACTAGGCTTAACCCTCGAACATTGATAAATGCTTAGAAATTTTATAACAACTTTCTCAAGCTTGTTGCTTATAGAAAACAGACCTTCGCTAGCGCGTCGGTCTGTTTTCAAGCAACAAGCTTTCGAAATCTGTTTTAATTTTTTTTTCCGTCAATTATCAATGTTCTTGGGCTATTACTACTGAAAATCGGCTTTTAACTGCCAAGCCGATTTTCAAAAAAATTTCCTCCCACACCATTTCAATTTTTAATTAGCAAATAACATTTGATGAATACTAGTATTTGAAATAGAGTGATATCATTCTTCATAGGGTCATAATCTTGATTTTTGTGTGTAGGACACTGGTGACATTGACCTACGCGGCACTGTAGGCGATGTGTCACCAGACGTTATTTTACATTGAGTTTTGACAAAGTAATGACTTATCTCTGGTAATGACAAAATGATGACACAGGGGTTTTCGAGCGCTTGACCGGTAAATACCATTTACTGTCGGTATTTACCAATTTAATTTAAGCGGTTAGGTAATTCGTGGTCATGACCTAAAAACGAGCCCTTGGTCTTCGTTTTGACGTTATTCTTCGACATTGACAAGCAGCGGTATTTACCGGTATTTACACAACTTTCGACCTGTTTTTCACCTCCCACCATTTGTTGATGACAATTGACTTACATTTGAAAAAGTTAATGGTGAACGTTTCTTTTTCTTTTTTGTTTATTTTGTTATTTGCAATTTGCATTTGCGGTTGTGTTAGTCCAGGTCCAGTCCCAGTTTCAGTATCTTAAATTTGTAATTTGAATGGATAGAAGAGAAAGGTTCAGTGTTGCCAATCTGAATTTGTGAAATTACACGATATGCTGGTCAAATTACACGTTTTTACACGCTTTCAGTTCTCACAATTACACGATTTTTACACACAATCTTGGTAGGTACCTATTTTGTAACATCTGAGCGGTTTTCTCGCATCTACTTTTTCGACATTGGTTCAAAACAGTTTTGAAACGGGCAATGGTGTTACCATTGCTCGTTTCAAAGCTGTTTTGAAAAAAGTGGACGCGAAAAAACGGCTCAAGCCTGGAAAAGAGTAACCTCTTTTGGGCCTCAGTTTCCTGCAAGGATACTACACACTACTACTACAGGATAGCCTATCCTCATAAGGCCTATGTAGTTCAATTCTCGAGGCACCCCTGCCATGCCAAAGCACCAGTGATGACGTAAGAAGCGTGTCGTTTCTCGTCTTGATATAGGGTGTTTGCACCACGGGATATGATTCCGCGGGCTTTTGCTTCATGCAAACTTGGCTTTACTCTAAGGTTTTACTACAATTACTAGAGCAATTAACATTCTAAAACAACTCTTTTTTATATCTCGTTTACATCATTCCTTTTCGCCTATTATGTTAATCAAAATTAAATGATATTTTTCATCATAAATCTAAATTCGAAACTACGACCGCTGGCGCAAACAGCTGTCGACTTAGTTAATGACGTCGGCAATTGACCGCGATCACGAAAAACGAGGCCGATAAGCAATCCTTAGTAGTGTGTATTATCCTTGCCCATAAGGGTAGTTACTTTTTAATTTGACAGTTGTTGATTTGACAGACAAAATATGATGGAATGGAATGCAAGGAAAGGGAAGAGAACACGTCAAGTCCTGTTTATGTTCCAATGGGATCGTGGCTTTAGATTGAAAAGCCGTGAAACAGGAAAAGAATAAAGAGAATGTAAAACTTTTCAAATTACACGCAAAATACACGCTTTTTGTTTATGTTCGAAAAATACACGCAAGCCACAGCCTCCTATAAATGTAGGAGGCTGTGCGCAAGCCAATCAAAATACACGCAAATCGTGTAATTACACGCTAATTGGCAACACTGGAAAGGTTCCAAATCCTCTTGAACTATGAAGGAAAAGATTTTCAACGTCGACGATATGGATACAGCCCAAGGAATATTAAATGCATCTTCATCTTTGAAAGAAACGAGCGAACCAGAAAATAGAAAATTAATTGGAAAATAATAAGAATATAATTGTTTGGTTAGAGCTTAAAATGTAAACAAATACAAGGGGATTAAGGGGAAGGGAGAAGCAGACAAATTTGACAAATCAAAACCAAAATGATAACCAACTAATTTCAAGCGTTTTGGAAGTGCTTTGACCATAAACTGTGAAACAAACGTCAAAGGACTGTGACCCAGGACAACCAAGGGCATGACTGCGGTATTTACCGGTCAAGCGCTCGAAAACCCCTAAAGTGTCCCTGCGTTTTTATTCTCATCAAATTTTACCGATGGATCCACCATTCTATGGCCGTCATTGTCATTTTCCATTCACTAAACAAAGACAGCCAACCCATCGGTGAAGTCACCGATGAGAATAAAAACGAGGAGTTTACTGTAGATCACCGGTGACCTACGCTTCTATCGGGCTCTAAAAATGCTCTCCATTTGTGACTCCCACTCCATAAACAATAACAATAACAACATGCAAACTACTCCAAGCACGAACTACCTACCTACCTACCAAAAATAAATAATAATATAAGAAAAATGTATTACCAAAAACCATATATCTAACTTCTTCGGCGTCCTTTGGTTCTTCCACAACCACAACAGCATCTTTCCCCTCGTTGCTCGCTCCTAGTTTTTTGCGTAAATAGGATAAAAACATTTTGAAAATAAAAAATTCAACATTTAAAAAAATCAGCTGATTTGTGACAACAAATGACATTTAACCTAACCTTGCATTTGTTGGTCCTCAAGTTCAGCTTCAGCTTCTTCAGAAGACATTTTTTAATATAATTTCTTATGAATCCTATGTTATGTTAAGCACCTGGTTAAGTTTTAAAATGTGTCTTTAACTTCAAAAAACTGATAACAACCACTTTAATAAATTTGAATTATTGTAATCTACAAATCAAACACTGTTGTAGTTTTTTTTATTCGAATGAGACTGTTTTTTTTTAAATGTTTTTTGAATTTAAATACACAATGTACTTCTGCTTCGAAAGGAAAACAAATAAGTGTTATTATTGTTTAACTTACACAACAATCACACAATCAAGTTCAAGATTAGGTGAAAGGTCATTTTTTTGCATGATGATGAATGGATTTGTTTTGTACTTTGTAGATTCTCACTTCTCAGAATTCTTGGCAATATTGGCAACGTTGGATTTTATTCCGCGATTCCGAACCAGGTGATTTTGACAGTTGTGAAATCAATCGGCTCGAGATGCGAGATATGGAGTAGAGTGGATTTTTGTCAGGTGACTTTGGAAATGGAGCAAAACTAACAATTTGAAATTTCGAAAGTTACTCTTTGTGAGATGGAACTTTTGGAGTATACTCTTCCTACTCCTTTCTCAGTACCAGATTCGATGTTCTTATACCCGAACGCAAATAATCTCACTCCGAATACATTTGTCCAACCGGTGTAGTAGAAACTCCCACAATCGAACTCGTTTCAAAAGTTTCAAATGGAATTGAATGTCAAAGTCAAAGTATTTTGTGCAAATTGCAAATGCAAGGAGGTGTAAATTTTATACGTTGTTTATTGAATTGAAATCTGAGTCATACCTATTTCTACAATTAAAAACTTATAGTCCTTTTAAACAATCAAATTCTGGCATAGAAAATGTCGTTTTTTGGTAAATTGTTCGGTGGTAAAAAGGAGGAAGCCCCGTCGACCAGCGATGCCATCCAGAAGTTGAGAGAGACCCAAGATCTTCTGACAAAAAAACAGGAATTTCTCGAAAAACAGATTGATGATTGTCTTATCGTCGCCAAGAAAAACGCATCCAAGAACAAAAGACGTAAGTGAGACTATTATTTAAACAATTCCTTTATGAAATATGGCAAAATTCACTAGGCAGTAGTTGTTTCCTCTAACTAATTTGGCTTTTGATCGAGCTCTCGATCGAGCTTTTGATAACTACCTACATCAAAACTTTTGGACCCAAACGCCAAACGCAATTCTCAAAGTCTGTAGAATCAAATCTGATATCATTTTGATCTCATAATCATGTGAATTGGTCACCCATTAGGTATAACCGAGGGTATAATAAATAATCCTGGAAATAATCACTATTTAAATTCTGCCATTATCATAATCATAAAATGATTCATCATGAATGATTGTATGTTTGGGAACAAATGATTGTATGTTTGGGAACCTAAAGGTGATTGTATTGTACATTCTACATTCTACTTATCCACCTTTCAATCTTCACAAAATGAAGATAAATACACACAAAAGCCCATTTCACAGAGGGTACCTGCTTATAGGACAAATCTTTCAGGAAAATATGTACTAAATTTCTGCCAAAACATTTTTTTTTAAGTAATTTTCTCCATATTAGTCTAGGAAAGTAAGTATGGAAAACTGTGGTTTGCTAATTAGACACATTTGTTCACTAGGAGTAAGACTGGGAGTAAGATTATGCAAATACATTATTATGGTGATCAAAATCTGTGATTTTGTCAGTACATTGCCTGTTATATTATTTCACTGAAATTCATACTCCAAATCACCCTTTTTTTCTAATAGGTAAATAAAACAACGTAAGATTTTGTTTTTGTTGGATTTTGTCTATGTGGACATGAAAGGGGTCTAATTAGACAATATAAGTTAAAAAAGAATCCATGACAAAATAGTTATTTATGCAACAAGTGTGTAAAGACAAAATCAACCTTTTTTCACAAATGTGAATTTTGACAATTACATGAGTGAAAAAAGGTGCTTTACACACGTATTGCATACAATTTTTTTTCTAGTACCAGTAAAATATGTGTAAAAACATAAATTTAGGCAGATACTTTACACCGAGGGGTGTCTCACTATTGGCATTACGTCATGTACCTACATTTTCTCAGCAGTTGCTGACAGTCTAATGGCAGTTGACTGTTATTATATGGCAGTCTTCTCGGAGTCAGCGGCAGTCATTGGCAGTGGCTAGGTATTCTCAGCCAGTCGCTCGGCAATCAATTCAATTCATTTATTTATGCCAAAATACAGTACAAACCTTAATACAAAGCAGAGTAAACATAAAACATTAGAGTACCTATGTTACCTACGTTCGTTATAATCGGTATACCCTATCCTGCTGAGAACACAAAATGTTCTGTTTGCAGGCTTGGCGCGTGAACGTGAAAAATCACAATTCACCTCTACACTTAACAACAAACCTAAATAATACAATATAAATAGAGTACCTATTTATACCTATATTTTATTATACTTATATAACAATAATTCAAAAAAAAATAACAAAACAAAAAAAATCAAAACAATAACGGATTTGAAATTCCTTTCGGAAATATGTAATAATTACCAGGGCCGGCATAATATTAGGTTCTTTATATAAAAATTTTAATTTCTAAATTTCTTTGACAGATCCAGGACTTTACCTTATTTATTTATTTATTTATTTATTTATCAACGAGCAATTATTGCCCAATTAAAAGACAAGTATAATTAACAAGTGAGAATCTTAACCTAACCTATCACCTAGAATATCAAAACATAAGAAAACAATAAACAGTAACATATTAAAAAATATATATCAATAAATTAACATAAAACATAAGGTAAATACTCGGGTAAAAACCACAAAATACGGCTGATTTAGCCTTGTTTGTCTAGAAGGGACATGGATATTGACTTTTGCCAGTAGCTCTGGACCAAAGCTGTATGAGTGCAGTAGATTATAAAATATGGTAAGATCCTTGTGCATGCGTCTGATTTGAAGAGTAGTGATATTAAGGGAACTTTCAACCCTTGAGTAATTAATATCTTCAACTTCATGGCGTTCCTTAAATGAAATAAATCTCAAGAATTTATGTTGGACTCTCTCAATAGCCTGGATATGGACGTTGTAGTGGGGAGACCATACACAAGAACAGTAATCTAGATGAGGCCTCACAAGAGAACAGAATAATATTTTGATGGATGCTATATTAAGAAAATCTTTAGCGCACCTTTTAATAAAACCCAAGATTTGAAGTGACTTTGATACTGCCATTGAAATATGGGATATGTAAGATAAGTTGGAATCAAGGACTACACCTAGATCCTTGATTTGACATACAGATTCCAGAGGGCAACCATTTATAGTGTAGACTTGTTCTGTGGGATTCCTGCTACGACTGAAGACCATCAGATGGCACTTCTGAACATTAAGTTCCATACCATTAATTTCACACCAGTTGCTGAGACGATCTAAGTCGGCTTGCAGTTCTAGGCAATCAGCATTATTCTTGATTTTTGTGTATAGTTTTAAGTCATCTGCAAACATTAGGAAGAAGGAAAAGAGAAAAGAGGATGCAATATCATTCACATATAAATTAAAAAGAAGAGGGCCCTTTTTTGAAAGCTTTTGTTGAGAAGTTAAAATTTTTTAGGTCATCATCTAGTAACTTATATATTTTTATAGCAATCCATTTTGTGCTTTTTTTGCCTACTTCTAGCTTTGTTTTCATTACTGGAATGCTCTTATTTCTAGTTATTTGTTTTGTATGTAAATATTCAGATTTCAAGTTCTTATAATGATTTGTTGTAATGGCTTTAAGGTAATATATTTGTCTTATTTTAAGTAGATTGTTTTCTTTATAACACTGATGGAGTTGTGCCGATGGCTTTTTAAAAATTAGCCTAACAATTCTATTTTGAATCGATTGGAGAGAGTTTATGACATTACCACGAGGGGGTAACCACTCTGAACAATCGTGTACACCAAAATAATATTTACAAAATTACCGAAAATTACACACATTTACCAGAATTACCAATAATATTTACTAAAAAATTACACATACATTTACTAAAATTACTGAAATTACAAAAAAATTACACACATTTACTAAAATTACTGAAATTACAAAAAAATTACTCACATTTACTAAAATTACTGAAATTACATACATTTACCAAAATTACTAAAACCCCTTAACATCATTTCTAACTTGATTTTATAAGTAGTTTTTATATAGAAGGTACCTACTAGTACATTAAAGTGCACTTTATTTCATTAGTAAAATAAATTACTGTCAATTTGAAAAATGACAACATATTTTTAAAACATTATTTTTGAATTTTTCTGGAATTTTTATTATGATAGAGAAGAAATTAATCTTGTGTCAATTGTGATGGGTCTTCAAAGAAAAAAATCAGAGATGCATATGGTTTTTTCTTGGGTTTTTTAAACGTATGTCTCAGCAATATTTTTCTTCAATTTTGTCATTGCATTTTGTAATGTCGAAAACTTGGTCAAAAATCTCGACCAATAAAGAAATGATAATGGGATGTAAAGTCCGTCGTTTTTATTCTGACACTTTCCGTATGAGGAGCGAGGAGATGTTTCATAAGGCAAAAACAAGTGTCAGGTAACCATTGGCGTTCTAATGTAGGAAGTTACCAGCTCACATTCCTTTGGAGTATCAGATTAAAATCGACAAATTATATGTTTTTGTGATCAAAGCACTCTCTGATTTAGTTTTTTTTTGAAGACCCGTTACCAAAATAGCATAAAGATACGGCACTGTAAGTGGAAAATTCGCAAGAGGGACCAGAGGCACATTCACAATGATTTCAAATCAGGGCCGTAGCTAGATTCAAATTTGTGATAGGGCATGAAAAATTTGACATAGGGCATGCACTACTTCCTCCCCCCCCCCCCCCCCCCCCTTTAAATTTTTCATAGGTAAACAAAATGGAGGTAATGGCGCCGAAGGCAAATTTTTCAATAACATCTCTGGCAAGTAAACAAAATGGCGCGTTCAGGCAATAATTTTTGGGAGATCTCTTGTACTTGTACTACTTGTAAAATAACTGTATACCTACCAACTTACTCGATTTCAGGTCTATTCATTAGCTGTGGTCCAACCGACATGGGAACCGTTCCAGAACCAGTAATTTCCAATTGCCCACCTAATTTTCAATAAGCTGAACGTTTATCCTACTTGTAGATTGTAGATTGTAGATTTCGGGGGAGTCGTTTCGGCTTTTCAGCCGCTCAGCACTGCTACCTTTGCAGATATTTTGTGCGTGACTCTACATCTTAATTTGTCTCCAGGAAGCGTAGACTTCTGCCGAAGGAAGCTATTTTCCTGGGTGTCAGTTGGCCCACTTCTTCTGGTGACAGTGTTGCCCCCTCGAGGAATTTGAGCCTACTTGAAAAATGAATTCATCGACTGAAAATTACCGTTCAAGAAAGGTTCTCATGTCGGTTGTAACAGAGCTTTCATCTACTCTTAAATTTCCTAGAGAAACCTCAACGCATGTTGTGTTTTAAATGTAGGGCATCATCATTTCAAAAATAGGGCATTGCCCACTAATGCCCCCCCCCTGGCTACGGCCCTGTTTCAAATAGGGCTCCAAAAATTACAAATACGCGTGCGCGCGCACGTTCCGTTGGTAACGCGTCATCGCGTTTATAGAATAGGCGAGTTCGGTTGGTTAATCCTGCCCGAGCAAAAAGACGATAGACCTGTGGCTGCATGACATCATTTAAGATGCTTCAACATAATGCAAATCTCCATAGAGCACCCCAGATGCGTCGTCAGGTTGCCCATTGCCGGACAACCTATCAACTTTAGGAGCCTTGGATAGAGCGATCAAGAACGATAAACCAAAGAGAATGGTTACATCGGTGATATTTTTCTGCCAGTTTAGCGGGGGCACGCGCTGCTCTAGGGACGTCACCTGGCTCACTGGAAACAAGTTTTATGCGTTATTGTTATTGCTATAGGAGGATAATATGGTTTAACCCAAGGTTCCTGAGATTTATGGGTTGCCTTGTGATGGGTGGCCTGATGA